GATTTTTGTTATTGCTCACAGGGGACTGATTCAGGACAGTGTTGTGTTTTTAAAAGTGTTTAAACCAGCCCCCGGTGGTGTGGTTCAGTGGGTTGAGCGCTGGCCTGGGAACCAAAGGTTTGCTGGTTTGATTCCCAGTTGGGGCACGTGCCTGGGTTGTGGGCCAGGTTCCCCAGGGTAGGGCATATGAGAGGCAACTCAAACTTTGATATTTCTCTCCCTCTCTTTCTTCCTCCCTTCCCCTCTAAAAACAAACAAACAAACAAACAAATAAATAAAGTGTACTTTTTAAAATGTTTAAACCAGCCCTGGTCAGTGCGGCTCAGTGGGTTGGGTGTCATCTTGCAAACCGAAAGGTTACCAGCTCAATTCCCAGTCAGGCCACATGCCTGGGTTGTGGGCCAGGTCCCCAGTAGAAGATGTGTGAGAGGCAACCACACACTGATCTTTCTCTCCCTCTCTAAAAATAAATAAATAAAATCTTTTTAAAAAATAAAATTAAAAAATATTTAAACAAGTCACCCCTCCCCGCAGGCCTGGCCCCAGCCTCAGACACAGACACCCCAGACTAGCACGGGCCGACGGGAAGGGAATGCAAGCCATGTGTGTACTTTAAAGATTTCTGGTAGCCACATCAAACAAAGTGAGCAAGAGATAGGTGAAATTAATTTCAATGACATATTTTATTATCTAACTCAGTATATCCAAGTCGTATCATTTCAACATGTAATCGATGTGAGAGTCCTTAACGGGACCGTTTACACTCTCTTTCGCACAAAGACTTCCAGGCTCAGGGTGCATTTTACATCTCCCCTCGGACCAGCCGCATCTCGGCCGCACTGCGGTGACCACTGCAGCGCGGCTCAGCGGGCTCTGGTGGAGAGGGTGCAGGGTACGTGGTGCCAGAGCAGGCGCATTGTTCGCAGAAAAGCTCCCACCAGCAGAACTTCCAGTGGCAACCAAGACCCCTCCCCTCACTCCTACCCTAGGCCACTTTAGGCAGTTGGATCTCCCATGGGTGCTGTGGGTGCTTGCTCCCTTCAGGTCTCTCCCACTTCAAGGCATCCATCTGTGACACTTCCATGACCCATGGCCTACTAGGGACCCAGACCCTCTGCTGTGGGGAGTGTCTGAGGTCAGCCTCCTCCCCGGGGGGTGTTCCGGGGGAAGGAATGCAGAGGACCACAGCCTCCCCCCCTCCCCAGTGCCCTGAACAGAATGCACACACAGGCTCCTCTCCTCCAGAGAAAGGACTGCCTGCCCAGCCCCAGGAATGGGGAGGGGAGGAGGAAGCTGTCCCTTCGGCTGGAATTTGTGCTCATGTTACTTTCAAGGAAAAAAAATTCCGGAGCAACTTCGGCTTCCCTCTCTTACACATCAGGACAGTTAGTTGACCGGCTCCCGGGGTGAAGTTGTTTGGACTCAGCTCCCTTCTCATAAAGCTCTGTCCCCAAAGGCTCTGCTCACCGGCCCTGTCTGCCTCCGCCGCTGGCTCCAGCTCAGGCTGGGCTGCCAGGCCCAGAACGCTCTCTCGCTCTGTATTTTTATCACCCCACCCTCCACCCCACATGCTCATTTCTGCCTTCTCTTCTCCCCTCTCGACCTCTGCTGTGGTTTCTTGATGATTTCCCCTTTCTTTAATCATTCTGGTGAAATAGAACCCAAAATAGCAAACAAGAGAATGCTGACTTGGATAGGAAACAGACCTGCTAGAACAACTTCGAATAGCAACGATGTGCTAATCCCCATGCCCTAGGCATCCCCCGCTGGCCCACTTATGGACACAGTGTCACCTTACCAACCAGGGCAGTTCTTTTACTCCACAGAGGACACACATGTGTTGAGGTTCCAGGGGCCTGACGAGGCCCTTGTTGTGCCCGGCTCCGGGGGACACAAAGTGGACGTGTGTGTATGTGTCAAGGCTTCTGCTCCAAAGGACCTCGTAGGGAATAAGGATGATGCCTGTCCTGAGCTAAGGCCGTCATCCGGGCTGTAAGGTGGGGCAAGGGTTGGGGGGAGGTTCATGGAGGAGGGACACTGAAGCTGGGACTTGAAGGACGGGAAGATATTTTAACAGGTGGAAATTTAAGGACCCGCCTGCCTTGCCAATGGAAAAGGCTGCAGGAAATGGCACAGAGGTGGGGAGTGGACAGGATGCCTCCACTGGGCAGAGCAGCAGCCTTCCGCCTGATTGGTCAGGGCTGGCACCAGCCTGATGGCTCAAAGGTCTTAATGTTACCCCTGAGTGCGAGGAAGGACCACCAGCTTCCGTGCCCGGGGTTCCCAGCCACGTTTCCCACTCGCGCCTGTCTGGCTCTGAGAATCTTCAGGCAAGGTGAATCAGACCATTGAGGGAGGTGAGCCCAGCGAACAGAGGGGTGATCAGGGTCCTTGAAGCTGAGCTGCTACCACCAAGGCGCCTCCATGAGACTGCATTCCTACAGCCTGAGGGCCACCAGCAGAGATGGAAACCTGGAGCTCCGGTGGCCCACGGCTGCTGCCCCAAGGTCTGTTCTCACACTTTTGAGGGGCGGCCGTCCTTGGAGTGGGTAAAAATTATCTTCTCCTTTACAAAAGCAGAATTATAAAGAACAAAGAAAAAGAAAATACCTTCAACCTCTCTGCCCCAACAAAGGAATCCCTGCTACGTAGACAACCAGGTGGGGCTGGCCTGAAAGAGCTTCCCAGACCACGCAGATTCGGGCTGTGGAGGTGGTCTGTGCCTCTTCTGGGACCAGCCGCCCAGGCACAGCTCAGTTACCCAGGAAGGCCGCCCCCGTCTGCATTTGGCACCACGCCCCGCGACACACAGGCGCCATCACATCCCCCGAGTCTGATGCGTATTTGTTACACCACGGATCACTATCTGGAATTCTCTTGCTCACAGACCTGGGTTTTTGTTGATCATGGGTCTCCTTCTCAGACCCCCAACCAGACAGTGTCCCCCAAAGAGCAGGGTCTGCCAGGGCACTGCAGTGTCCCGGGTTTTGCAAGTGTTAGCACAGTGGGCTCTCAGTCAATGTTTGTGGAACCATGGAGGGCGGAGTGGCAGTGTCCATCACACCTGCCAAGGCACCGGCCCTCAGCTCCGAGTGACTGCCGATGATGAGGTCAGGAGGGTGAATCTGACCCCCGTGATCCTTAAAGCGATCGACAGACGCTCTGAACCTGATCATCCAGGAAACTTATTACACCACCACTTGTAATCACAAAAGACCGAAAGTAGGTAAACGTCTTCGTGGTCAGATATATCGTGATAGTTACGCAATGAGGATACTATGCATATCTATAAAAACAGGAAGGGCTTTGTGAACTAATATAAAAACTTTTCTGTATATAATCCTAAGTGAAAAAAACAAGCACAGGACAGTGTTAAAATACGCTATCATTGGTCGGGGGGTGGGGGAGCAGAGAAGCAATATTCCCATCTGCTTGGTTATGCACACAGTATCTCCACCTGGGTACGAAACACGGGTTGTAATTACCACCTGCAGGGAGGGGCCTGGATTCCTTGGGAGTCCAGAAGATTTTTCACCATAAACCTTTTTGTGACTTGTGAGGCTTTTAACAATAAAAATGTATTATCTATTCAAAAACAAAATCTATTAAAACAAGCATATTTATGTATTTAATACATATCTTGCCCAGGCCAGTGTGACTCAGGTGGCTGTTGTGTTGTCCCGTAAACCAAAAGCTCTCAGGTTCAATTACTAATCAGGGCGCAGACCTAGGTTGCAGGTTAGGTTCAGTGCCCAATCAGGCATACATGAGGCAGCTGATCAATGTTCTCTCCTTCTCTTTCTCCCTCCTTTTGAAATCAATAATAAACATGTCCTCAGGTGAGGACTAAAAAAACATCTTGAATAATTTGATGAATATAGTTCAGACTTTCCCTTGGTGGCTTTCAGGAAATGTAAGTTAATGTCCCCTCCCATTCTCCTTCAGGGTCACACCCCTCACCCTGCCTCTCCCTGCCCCTCCCTGCCCCTAGAATAAGGCCAGATTCCTGAAGGTGGGGCACCTGCAGAAGGCTGTCCCACTGGCTGGCTGGAGGTGTGTATGAAGGCCAGGTGAAGAGCAGCAACAGAGATTGGCAACAGAGATTGCAGAATAAAAGAATGTCTTCATGTTTACCTGCTAGGGAGTTTTACAGAAACAACTTTCCTGCTTCCTTAAGCTACTAGATAAAAGAAAATAAATTTGACTCTGCTCTGAGTAGGCCTGCTTAGCTAGAAACCATGGAGACTGGGGGAAATCTGGGGTAAGTGGCAGCAGCCTCTTGCGCCCAGTGTACCCTGGCTGCCGGGAGCCGAGTCTGGAGGAGTATCATTCTTGGAAGCGGCAGGGCCAGCCCGGAGAATCCGAACCAACCCCCTGGCCTGCCTTTGCCGCCAGCAAGGGCCAGCCTCTCGGGTGTGCGACCTGCAGTTAGAAGGTCTCCTGGACTTGGTTTATTCTCATATTCTGCTGTTACCATCTTGAAATTCTTAACAAATTTTTAGCAAGCGGCCCACATGTTCATTTTGTACTGAGCCCTGCAAATGAGGTAGTCAGTCCTGCAGGGAGTGTCAAAAAAAAGTGCTTGTCATCTCCAGGGTCCTGGTTTATTATTTGTTGTGAAAAGTATAGTATCTGTTTTCACTCCCAGTGCCCCTGAGTTCATCGGGTCCTCCCCCTGAGAGCTGTTTTAGGAGAGCTGGAAGGTCCAGCTGTGCACCTGTGGACAACAGACATGTGGGACAGGAAGAACATGGTCAAAGTCAAGGTCGAGGTCAGGGGACCGAGTAAGCCATTCTACCAGCTTGGGTACCGCCGGGCACTGCTAGCATTCCTCCTTATTCCTGGGTTCCAGGAGGTGCCTGGAATGACCGGTTCCCACTGCAGCACCTTTGAGGAAAATCTGCAGAAGTCACAGGGACAAGATCACTACTGTTTGCATTTGTGCTTTGATTCAAGAACTATTTATTGAGCCAAGGGGCTGGGCCCACAGTAAGGAGGCACTCCTCCTGCCCCCGTGAGGCTCACAGTGCAGCGGGGCTGGGCAGCCGTGACAACCATGACTTGCGGTAAGTACTATGGAGAAAACAAATAGACTCCCAACAGAGAATAATCGGTGGAAAGTGGGGAGGGTCATGGGGACTGCTTGAATAGTGTCATTAATGGAGGTCTCGCTGAAAACATGACCCTTCAGCTAAGACCTGAAGGACAAACTGAAGCAGCGATGTGAAGGAAGGACAGAGGGCAGGCCAGGGAGGGAACGGCCTGGGAAAGGACACTGGGACATGAGTGTTACCGGACAGGGGCCTGGCCCTGAGTGGGTCTGCCTCAGAACAGCAGTAGGGAGTGGGTTCTTGACTTCGCATAGGAGAGATTTCACAACGCGAGTTCGGGTGACTATGAGGGTACGTTTATTAAAGATGGGGACCGTGAAACAAGGAAGAGCTCAGCATAGAAGCAGCAACGGAGAGCCTGGCCCACTGGAAAGTCAGAGAAGAGGGGGCTTAGGGGACTGGTTCAGGTTCAGGGGATTAGCCTCGGACAACATGCCAACTGCCCACTGCCCGTGAAGAGAGACGTGGGGGAAGAAGGGCATGTCCTAGGCTGCTCCCCAGAAAGTGAACACCTGGGGTCCTTTATCTTGAGGCTTTTCTCTCTCCTGCAGGTGGGAATGTTAGGGGAGGTCTCAGGGGAGGGCTTCAGCAGCATATTCATTGGTTCTGCAGGTGTGCCCTCTCAGGGTCATGGTCTCCGCTGATTGGTCAGCAGCAGGGCAGGGCGTCTTCAGTCACTGCAATTGGTTCTGGCATTGCCCACTCGATTTTGCTGCTTTTCTGGGCCTGGAGCTGAAATGCAGCTGAGGCCTAGATGTTGTCTCCAGGGAGGAAAGGCCAGGGGAGGGAAGTTGACCCTGGAGGTGAGGTCCTTCTTTCCCAGTTTTGACCCCCTGCCACGCACTCAGGGCCAGCCCTGGTGGCCATCAGCACCTGACTATAAACTGCTTTGGCCATTGTGTTCCGCTATCTGTCTCAGTTTCCCTTTTCCACTTGCCAAGCAATTTCCCCAGCTTATCACTATCCTGTCTCATTTGGACATGCAGAAACCCAGCCCATTCATGAAGCAGACAAAGGCCAGTGTGACCGCAGTGTCGGGAGCAAGGTAGGGAGTGCAGGAGAGGTGGCTGGGCTGCAGAGGTGGGCAGGGAGGGGCCAGTTCCTGCAGGGCTTGATAGGGCCCCCTGGGAACCCTGGGTTTCATTCCAAATGCAACAGCCTGCCTTTGAAGACCTGTGAGGTGGGTAGGAACGCTAACAGATTTGCATTTTGGAAAGTTTACTCTGGCCGATACACAGATTATTATGTGATATTCTTTGATCATATCCATGAACAAATAAGTTCAGGAAACTGGATTAAATAGTGTTAAACTGACGTTTTTTATAGCACAGTCTTGGAGACTCATCATATTCATATGCCCTGTAAAGCTTAGAAAGGAGAATAACAGTATGCACTGTTTCCCAAATGTGCCTACACTGGAACGGGGGGAACAGAACCCCAAAGGAGAAAACTAGTTAGGAGTCAGTTAGTTGCAAGTAGGAGATGACAGTATTTCAGATGGACTGGTAGCGGTGGGCATGAGAAAAAAAATGAGTGGAAATAAAATGTACTTTAGAGGAGAAATGGGCAGGATTTGGATTTGGGGTAGGGGGGCTTAACACAGATGCCAAGATCATGACCAGGAAGTATCTGGCATGGAAGACTGCATGGCTGCAGGTGTCATCTACAGGATGAATTCTGGAGGTGGGGCTGAGATCGAGAAACCCACTCTGAACACATTCACTGGAGGCGCCTGAGAGATATCAGGGTGCAGATGACCATCCCATGCCCCACTAGCTAAGTCAGAGGGCAGCCTTTGTCCAGATGCCCCTTGGAGGGCTGGCATGGTCACAAGGGCAGGGTCCAGCTTCCTGCTCCCTGCTGGTCCCTGGGAGCCCACACTCCGACTCCAGGGCAGACTCTCCTGGCAAGATTTAGAACCATCAGTGGCCCCTCTCTCCCACCCTCCCAGTTGCCTCAGTTTACCACTTGACCTGGCACTCACGTGCGGAATTACGAGGTGTAGGACAAGTGCCCCACAAGTGGCAGCCGCATGCCTTGCAGAAGGGCTCGCGCTCATTGGACGTGGGCCCCAGCCTTCCCTCGGGAGCCCCGGTCCCTGGAGCGCACTGGCCTGGGAGGCAGGAGCGCTGGGTGTGCCTTCTACCTGCTGGTGCTTGGGGGCTTACAAAGCACTTCACATCCATCCGCTCATTCTCTCGAGAACCTCTGAGGCCAAGCAAGGACTTTTAAAAAAACGATTTTTTAAATTTATTTACTTTTAGAGAGAGGGGAAGGGAGGGAGAAAGAGAGGAAGAGAAACATCAATGTGTGAGAGAGACATGGATTGGTTGCCTCTCACACTTTCCCAGCTGGGGACCTGGCCAGAAACCCAGGCACATGCCCTGACTGGGAATTGAACCAGTGACCTCTTGGTTCACAGGCCAGCACTCAATCCACTGAGCCACACCAGCCAGGGCTAATTCCACTTTTTATATAAGGTTGTTCGAAGAGGTTAATCCAACTTGCCTAGGTCACACAGGTAATAAAGGAATCAGAAATCAAAGTCAGGAATTAATGGCCATCTGATGCCAAGTTCAAGGCTCTTTCTAGCAGATCAGGCTATTCCACGGCAGGGAGCACCCGCATTTGGAAAAAGCTGCCTTCATTTCTGAGAGATCATGTGAAGAGCAGAGGGAGGGCCCCACTGCCTATGACCCTGCCTAGAGCCGCAACCTATCAGGGCTGCCAGGGCCCAGGGACTCTCCAACTTTCACAGCTGAAGAACAAACAGACTCACAGAGGGAAGGAAGTTCGTGGCAGAACTAGGCCTAACACCCAAATCTCCAGCCCTTATCTCTTTCCACTTCACTCAAAGCCTCCTGGGTTGGGCCCTCCTCCACCTACAAAAAGGCCAGCCCTCTTGCCAGGAGAACTTGGTGGAAAAGAAGAATAAACAGAACTAAAAGGTAAAGGGTTGCCTGGCAACCAGAAATGTGGGCTCCTGTGGTTTTGCCACTGGCATCCATTTACCCTTCTCTCCAGTGTCCTCATGCCCAGGCATCCTCTAGGGGGCCCGCTCACACCCCCTTCTTAGCCTGTGGAGTTCATTTCACTTCTGGCTTCAGCAGTAGGCATGTGACTCAAGTTTGGCCAATCAGAGCCTCACATTTCCCTAACCATACGATTGGCTCAGGAATGGACATGTGACCTCAGCTCCTCCAGTGACACTTTCTCCCCCAGGACTCTCAACCTTGAGAGTCGAACAGGGATGAAGAAATGGCTGGAGTTTTTCTTTCTGCTGTGGCATTCTGTGCTTTTGGTCTAAATCTTTAGCCTTTGTAGCAGTTCAACCCAAATGAAGACCCTCCAGCAACCCTTTGGAGATGGAAGTTAGGAAATCAAGTGATGGTACTATTTCCCTTATTTTTTGGCACGAATGTCTTTCACTGAGAAGTAACAGCTTAGCTCCTGAATAGTTACTCGGAAATTGACACTCAATGCAAGAAAATTCAGCTGACATTAAAGTCTTTTTTTTTATTTTAATCATTGTTCAAGTACAGTTTTCTCCCTTTTACTCCCATTCCAGCCCACCCACCCAGCCCTCCCCACTTCCCTCCATTACCACCCTCCCCCTAGTTTTTGTCCATGTGTCCTTTGAATTTGTTCCTGTAAACCCTTCCCATTTGACATTAAAGTCTTTTAATGAGCCCTTTAAGTCAGGGACTCGCTGTGTGGTGCCCAGATCAGTAGCAGCAGCAGCATCACCTGGGAACTTGCTAGAAATACAAATGTCAGGCACCCCCCAGACTTACTGTGTTAGAAATTCTGGGCAGAGACCAGCAATCTGGAGTTTCAGAAAGTCTCCAGTGATTCTGATGCCCCCCCAGAGTTCGAGAACCACTGCTTCAAACCATGGAGTTCAGTCCCATATGGATGACAAGGGAAAAGATGTCTTAAAGTGTGTCTCAGTTCAGACCAAAATTTTTTTAAAGATTTTATGATACTTATTGACCCTTAGAGGGGACGGGATGGAGAAAGAGAGGGGGAGAAACATCTATGTGTGGAGAGAAACATCGATTTGTTGCCTCTTGCATGAACCCCCACTGGGGACTGGCCCACAACCTAGGCATGTGCCCCAACCAGGAACCAAACCAGCAATCCTTTGCCCTGTGGGATGATGCTCAACCAACTGAGCCACGCTGGTCAGGGCTCAGTTCAGGCCAAATCATACAGACACATTTTAGGTTGATGTAGTGACTCAGAAACAGGGCTCTGATCAAACAGACTTAAGCTTTTAACCCCTAGTTGTTGGCTATGCCAATTTGGGCAAGTTCTGTCTTTTTTTATTTAAGACTTTATTTATTTATTTTTTTAGAGAGGGGAAGGGAGGGAGAAAGAGAGGGAGGGAAACACCAATGTGTGGTTGCCTCTCCCGTGACCCCCACTGGGAACACAGCCTGCAGCTCAGGCATGTGTCCCAGACTGGGAATCGAACCTGCGACCTTTTGATTTGCAGGCCGGCACTCAACCACTGAGCCATACCAGCCAGGGCTAAATTTTTTAAAAAAAAATTGATTTTAGAGAGAAAGGAAGGGAGAGAGAGAAACATCAACTTGTTGTTCCACTTAGTTATGCATTCATTGGTTGATTCCTCTACCTGCCCAGAACCAGGGTGAAACCCACAACCTTGGCCCATCAGGACGATGCTCTCAACAACTGGTCTACCTGGCCAGGGCCTATGCCACTTCTTTTAAGCCTCAGTTTTCTCATCTGAAAAGCTTGAAATAATAGCATCTCCTTCACAGGTTATGGGCATGAAACGAGATGATGATTATAAAATTGCTACCACATAACAGGCTCCCAATACATTCCAGCTCATCATTATGTTTATGGAATTAAGCCTCCTCTTCCTGATTTATAAGCCCTGACTCCCTTTCACCGTCCCATGCCGGATGGAACATATTTCCCACGTGCCTCAAATCGACGTCTAGCCTGAGAGCACACAGAATGGAATCGGAGGGCTCATGCCTCAGGCCTGCCGCTGCCAGTATCTTACCGCATGCCATTCAGTGAGTCAGTTTCCATCTCTGAATCTCGGTGTTCCCATGCGCTGAATAAGTGGGTTGGGCCTAGACGGGCTGTTAGGTCCTCTGGGCTCTGACATTCCAAAAGTCTGTATCTTAAGCCTTGAACAGAGTGTTTTAAATTGGCCACAGGAAGCACAGACTTCAGTGCCAAAATACATCTGGAAGAGGTTATTTTTTAGGATACGTGAAAGAAGGACTAATATTTAAAGGTAGGCATTAGAGGGAGGCAAATCTTCCCACAGAGCAAATGTCCCTGAAGACTGACCTCCCCCCCGCCCCCATCTTGGGCACCACCCCATCCTCTGGGCTGTATCAACAAGAAGCTCAGCTCCTCACTGGACCAGGAGAAGCACTCTTCCTCTCTCTGTCTACTGGTAATTGCTTTGTCACTTGGCTTGAGTTGAGTACTCAGAAACTCAGGCCAAGGGCCCTCCTAAAACAGAAAGCAGAGTGACCACTAGCCACTGAACCTGCCAACAAGAACAAGAAGTTCAGTCTCTGTTGGGTTTTTTGTGTTTGTTTGTGTTTTTAGTCCTCGCCCAAGGATATGGTGTGTTTATTGATTTAAGAGAGGGAGAAAGGGAAAGAGAGAGAGAATTAATCGGTTGGCTCCCATACACACCCTAACCCGCGATCAAACCCACAACCTAGGTATGTGCCCTGACTAGGGATCAAACCTGCAACCTTTATGTGTACGGTTGACCCTCCAATCAGCTGAGCCACCTGGCCAGGGCAGTCTCTGTTGGGTTTTAAGCAAGTCTCCAGTGCATCTCACAATAGCCCTGCTCTGCTTAACCCAAAACGGCAGGGCATCAAATCACTCATCTCATTTTCTTCTTTTTGCTTATCATTTTGTGTTTCCCCCTATACTGCATATTTATTACATGTTTCATCTTCGAAGCAGTGGCTTCAAATGGAGACCACCACCAAGCACAGAAATGATTTTCTTTGGCAATGAAGAGTACAGGCATGAGGGGGCTGGAGGCCCTGTTCTAACCCTGGATCACAGCATATCTTGGGCAAGTCACTTAGCATCCCAGGGTCTGCTTGTCACTGTGATAAAGGAAGCGGAAACTGAACCCACTCTTCACCTATACTACTTCCCAAGACTGCAAAACAGCACTCGAGAATTGGTGGCTAGCGAAAATGCTGTGCAGGTCAAGTCCCAAGTCCCATCCTGCCCCCTCCACAACCACAGGCCACCACCTGGTTTTGGCCAGCTGTCTATGGGTGTGAGTAAATGGGAAAGAAATGTGAATTTGTTGATGCAAATCCATCAATAATATTAAACAACCCTGATGTCCTGCTAAGGGACCAGGCAAAGGGGGTGGGACTGGGGATGAGTAGGGAGGTCGTGGAAGGCTTGCAGACTCACAAACCCATTAAGAACAGCTTGGAAGACAGGTAGCAGGGCACTGGCCACACTCACGTCCCCATATTTCAGATGAGAAAATTGAGGCCCAAGCTGGGGCAGTGAGTCCTTAAGTCCACAGAGAGAGTAGGTGATCCCATGTCAGTCAATGTTCAGCCATCACTAGCCCCCATCTCTGCGTTTATGTCCTGAGAACTGATGGGCCCAGGAAATCTTTTGCCACTAGGTTGGTAAACCAGAAGGACACTTCAGCCCTGCTGACAGGATGTTGTCACAGCTGCTTTGGCACCCCTGCTCCCTCAGGAGTAACAGCGGAGGCGGTCCTGACCCCCGATGCTTTTTTCCCAGGCTGTCTCAGACAAAGGGCCTGCTGGCCTTGCCTTATCTCTGGGTCTAAATCAGCTACACTCCATTTTCTGTCATATTTTATCCACAAAAGTCCCAACCTGGGTTTCCTTGACTACCCAACAGGAAAGCCAGGCCAAGGTCCCAGAGTCCGTATGAAGGTCAGGCTGGGACTTGTTTGATGGGAGAAAACACAGAGGATGTGCTAGGCCTGCAGCCTTCGGTGCCTCTGGAAACGCACGGCTCTGCACACAGAAGCAGCATGGGGCAGGGGAAACAGCAGGTGGACAGGCCCGGGTTCGAACTCCAGCTCCTTCCCAGCTGCATGACTTTGAGTCAGGTATTTAGCCTCTCAGCCTCACGTTCCTCCTCTGTAACGTCAGGGTGACACCCCTTGCCTCCCAAGTTATTGGATTGTGTATGCAGCACTGTTACCGCTGGGCTTGGAAGATGAAACACTGAGCATGTTTGCTTTCCTGAGGCTCCAGGTGTGGAGTTGTGCTAGGAAAGAATGAGAGGTTCAACCCTGACCTGCAGGCAAGCCATGGTGTGACTGGCAGAGCCCATGCATTGGGTTGGAGGGTGGCTCTGACACTCCCCAGTGCTGAACCCCCCCACCTTCTCTAAGATTCAATTTCTAGGCTGTAAGTAGAAAGCTTGGTAACTTTCCGGCACTTGAGATTATGGTTATGAACGTACTTCATAAACTGTAAACCATGCCAGTGTCCTCTCTTCTTATTAGCACACTCTGGCCTGTAATCAAATAGTCCCGAGACCTCAGGCAAGCCATTCGCCTCTCTGGGTATATTAGCCAGGGCTCTGGCAGGAAACAGATGGCACAACCAAACTGGGTAACTTGATTCTAGTGTTACAAGGGGCTAAAGATGTGTGCACAACATGGACAGTGCAGTGTCTCAGGGCTATTTACCACCATGAGCCCCTACTACCCCAGACCTTGAAGGCACAAGGGAGAAGCAGTCACTTGGACCAGACAGGGCAGCTGCATGGAGAGGGCCACCTGATAGGAGCTGTGGCCACCAGAGGAGGGATGCAGCCCATCCAGGGCATGCTGGCAGGGAGGGAGTTGAAGAAACCATACCCTTTCCTCACTCTCCTCCTTCTGATCTCCTGTGGGTACTTCCCTATGGCCTAAGCAACCTGGAAGCCAGAGAGTAAGGCAACGCATGGATGGAGTCCATGCGGGGCAGCCTCCCAGGATGCAGAGCTGAGTGAAGAGGGGGGACAGCAGGTCCAGAAGGGCAGTCGGCAGGTATGGGCGCACTGGGCTTCAGAGTCTTCCACAGTTAAAGGAAGGTACTGAATGAAATGATGTCTCCTCCTCTCCTACCCTCTGACAGAGTCTCAGCACTTTTTCCAAGCTTCAGATCTAGGCCTAGCAGGGTTAGATCCAGGAGGGAGTCTAAGCCCTCTCCTAGGAAGATCAATTGATCAAAAGCAAGGACATCCTATTCTGGCAGCCCTGAATTTAAATGATGGCCACTGAGTTCCACCCTTAAAGCAGTGAGCAAACCAGCCATGCAGGGGGTAATTCTTTGACTGACTACGTTTTAATATTTATTTTTTTCTCTTTTAGCCAAAGTGGGCGAGGTGCATGTCTCCAATACTAAACAGATGCCCTCTGCTTTCACTCATTGGAAGAAATATAATGTAATGTAGAGGTCTCCTTAGACTTTATCTTTAGAAATAATAAATTGCATACATGTGAACACCCCGGAGCAATCTAATTCTTTCCAACACCTCCTACTGACAAGCAGTGTGGCTCCCAGGGGAGAAATCAAGGAGCTGAGTAATCTTGGAGAGACGACAGTTCCCGAATACGCCCCCCTCACTCCTTCCCATTCCAGATGGGCGATATAAATCACATGCCTATAAAAGAAAAGACAAGAGAGGACGTCCCAGAAAGTCTCAGCACAGACAATCTGGGACAACCATTAAAACTGTGGGCTCTTGAGTCGGTAAAGCCCAGGTCCAAGACCTTACTCTGCCATTTACCCGTTGTCTTTGTAACCCTGGGCAAGTGCCCTAAGCTTCAGCCTCCTCATCTGTCAGATGAGCATAATAATAATGTGTTAGCTACCTCAAAGGATTATTTCAAGAATTGAACAAAACAGTGCAAACACTTAGCACGTAGTTGATAACGGAGGGGAGTGAGGAGCTGCTGACAAATCGACGGCACTGGATCCACAATAGTGGCTCCTCCCCCGCTATGGTACTTCATCTATGCTGCTTCTGTGGCCCTCATCACTTCCCCTTGCCATTATCCCCTGCTCTACGCATGTCAAGTGTGCCTGCCACACTCACAGCCCCTTGCTGAGCTGAACGCCCCTCCTGCCCATGAGATAAATCAGGGGTCGTTCTTAGCTCCTCGAGCAAATCATCATAAAAAAAATACTGCGTATTAGTTATTCCCCCATTATACAAGACAGGGCAAGGAAAGGCCATTCCAATTCTGTAATGCGGGTAGTACTAGAATCAATAGAATCAAGTACTGATTAACCGTGAAAGCTACATGAAAACTACACGAAACCTATCAACAAGCTGTGACAACACAAATAGTCCCTGTGCAAGCTCAGTCTGCAGACACAAAGCGTACTTGGAAAAGGAAGAAAGGAAGGGAAAAGGAAAGGTGGAAGGTTTGACACGTGTTTACCTTTTATTATTTTTAATAGTTTTACTTGTTTTACCTTTTCTTTATTAGAAACAGGGAGGAGGTTTGTCTACGAGAGCATGAGCTGAGGACCACAAGCCTGGAAAGAAGCTTTTATCCTTCCCTTCTTTCCAGTTGAGGAAACTACAGCTGAGAGAGGGTAAGTGGTTTGCCCCGAGTCACACAGCTAGTTAGAGAAAAAGTTCAAATCTCCCCAGATGTGTGTGTTTTGTTGCCACCCCTGTCAAAAGTATGTGGCTAGCAATCTCTATAAATAGCTCCTGAAGTTTGCTGATGGTAAGGACCATGAGTCAACACCACCAGCTCTTATTTTGCAATGTTGTCAAGTTTCATCACCATCCATTTGCACTGTAGCAATGGACCTAAAGAAAATATTCTATCTTCTCTGTGGCCTAATCTTTTATATTCATCCTCTGTGGTGATGGAGGGGCGGTGCCCTTCTGCCCTGCTTACGTGTAGGCACCTCCCTTCTTCCCTCATTCATGCAGCCTTTAGTAAATGACGAAATCTGAAATCTGTGGTCTCGTTTTTCCACCTCCTTCTCTTGTCTTCAGCCCCATCTATACTGCTCTAGTTCAGGTCTTCAGGTTATTTCCGTAAGCTCCAGAGGTCTCCCCACCCGCAGCCTCTCTCCAGTCTGCCCTGTTTTGTGCACATTGATGATTATTTTATCCCCAGCACCACTCTCATCGCAGTACGTAAATACTTCCAATAGCTCTCTACTGCCCATAGAAAAGAGCCTCTCATCTGCCCTCTTCAAAGGCCCTCAGTGACCTTTCTCATGTGCTTTTCCCCTACTGACATCCCTGTTCCAACGCTCTCAGCAAATTGTCTTTCTCACTGTCCCCCTCTCATCCCCGTATTTTCCCAAAATGACTTGTGCAGGACACAGTGTCTCTCTTCCCTTTCTCTCTCTGTCTGTCTGTCTTTTGCCGTCTATCTATCTCTGTCTCTGTCTCCATCTCTATGTCTATCTCTCTCCCTCCCTCCAAGCTCTACTTCCTCGATGAGGGCTCCCTTCTCGAAAGGCTCTCCCCTTGTGCCTCTAAGAGAGCTGCCACTGCCGTGGCTTCTGGGGCCACAGGCTTTCGTGTTCACGTCCAGCAGAGAGGAGGGAACGTCTGTTTCCTGGTAGATCTCATTGTCCCTCACTGACCTGACTTTCCTTATACACCCATCCTTGAGTCAATGCTTGTGGCCAGGGGGATGGGACGGGCTAATACAGAAACTCCTTGAATTTCCCAGTCATGAGGTCTGTGTAGAACTGACCCCCACTTTCAAGTCTAAGGATGGGCCCTGACTGACTGAGAGCCGTAGCTGCTCCCGAGGCCTTTTCTTCCATGGATCCCTTCCCTTACTCTCCTAGCTAGAAAGCGAGTTCTTTCTCATCTAAAAGACACTTTGTCAGCATTTCTTCTATTGCAGTTACCACTGTCCACCTTGCATTAAAGCTCTCTGTCTTATCTCTACAGCCTGGATGTCCATCATGGTGGATATCATCACACACCCACACTCTCCCATCAGAGATGGCCCTGTCCTCCTCCACAGTCCCTGGCTGACAGGCCATCTCTGAGGTGCTTTATGTGGCCACGCCCACCCTGCCTCCCTGCTGGCTATGCTTATTAGATTTGGGCTGGGCACTTGACCCAAAGGTAGGCAACTCTAGGTTGGCCAGCAGCTTTGGGAATCCTCAAATGACCACTTCTAACCAGAGACCACAGTGATTAACCTTGAAGGCCATGAGTGAGTTGTAATGATGAGGAGTCAGAAGCCACAATGCAAGGAAAAGACAGAGAGTAGAGAATGAACAGTGTTATCCTCGGGAATAAGGAAGCGGAGACTCGGAGAAGCCAAATAACTTGCCCGACAGCTAGTCTAATTCTGAAGCGGACTCTCCCAACCAGCACTCCATATTCTCAAATGCTTCCAAAGACACCACATTACATTCGATGCAGACAAATCCTTATCATACAAACTAACGGAGGGAAGTGCTCATAGGGGGTGAACCAAAGGGTCATCGGTGGTGGCCACTTTCCCCGGGAGGGTCAACCAGGGGCTCTCCCCCTGCCCGTTACTCTTCAGTCACTCCTTTCAAGACTCTCCAGGAGCCTTTGCCCCACACTGTACCTTGATCAGGAATGGTTTTCATCTATTCTCAGCCGAGAGTGGTCTCACCGACCCTAAACATGATGAGCAGAAAGCAAAGCCCTGGAAGAAGGTTATTGCAGAGACCCCTTTGGTGGAGGCTGCCCAGCCCACAACACCCTCATCCCTCAGGACATTCCCCCACTCCCACCCAAGAGTGTGTCCCAGCAGCACTGTGCTGGGCTGGGTAGGGTCCTTTACATGGATTCGTTTTATTCTCACAACCACCGTGGGATATGAAATCAAGATTAAATCAACCACGCAAAGCCATGGTTCTCTAACATGCCACAGTCATAATGTCAACTCAGGTCTGACTGGCTCCACAGCTCATGTTCTTTCCATTGCTCGCTGCTGAATTCAAAATGGAAAGACAAATGGGCTATTCCATTTGATTGAGGATATAAGCATTCTATGATTTCTGCTTCATTTTCTTTTTATTGGCATCAGGAGTATTTATAAAGATTGTTCTCTTTAGCCTTTCTTTTGGCAACGACACATCCGTAAAACACCAAACAAATCCTTGACTTGCTTAACAAGCTGGTATCCTGAATCTAAGGAGTTTGTGCACATGGCCACATCCAGTCATGGGACACAGTGTTGAAACAAGTGGCTGTCCCAGGGGCATTCAGCGAGATTGCTTAGGGTTCTCGTGAAAAGAGGATATTACTGATGAGAAAGTTTTAAGGATCTGAGGAAAACCCTCCCTCAATTATGGAATACTTCCAACATTTCTGAGTGGAGCTGGACACGTGCGTGTGACATCCTGATGCGAGCCCCTGTCCGCACGTCCAAGGTTGTGTAGGCAGGTTGGTCCAAAAACACCCCTCAAATGTGGCTGAACTCCAAAAATTAAATGGTCCGTGTCCTAGTCTCAGATCATTTATTGTGGGCTTCTATTGCTTCAGTCTATTCGAATAATAACACACTTATTTAAAAGAAAGACTTTATTTATATTTCATTTATGAAGTCAATACATTTATTCTGAGTGTCCGTATGTGGCAGGTGCTAAAGAGTCGATGGTGACTAAGCACCATCTCTTCCATTAAGGAGTTCTAGTCTTTAACTCAAAAGGCATTTCTGCAATTCCGTAATAGCACTAACAAGAGCTTCTTTCTGTTGATTGATTACAGTTCGTTTGAGCATCACAATCATCCCGGGATAGGCAAAGCAGGCTTTATAATCTCCACATTACCAATGAAAAGGCACCCCTCCTCCAGACACTCGGAGGTCGAGACCAGGGCTCATGACGTGGTGAGTCAGGTGACATTTCAGTCCCACTTACAGCCGCACTCACGCCTCCTGCTGGGCTCTTTGTTCAGCGAACTGGCTGCTTGACTGGATGGTGGTGTCTAAGGGTTCAGGAAACTCAGAGATGAATCAAGACATGATCTCTGTCCTTGAGGAGCTCACCTGGTCAAGGAAATAAGGAAACACATATGATGTCACATAAGTGACATGAAGCTATGTTTCAGTATTACAGGGGGAAGGATGAGCAGCAAGAGGGAGATGTGGTCGGAGATAGTGAGCCACAAACACGTGCAGCCAGTGTAGGGAAGACTGACAAGGTTCGGGCAGAACGGGCGTTAGCTTTGTTTCTCTGCGCCAGTGGTCCCCAAGCCTAGAGGGCTACGAGAATCACTTGGGAAGCACTTCATTATTCAAAAAAAGAGAGAGGAAATCCTGCCCCTTGCAACAACACGGGTGGACCTTGAAGGTGTTATGCTAAATGAAGTATGCTGGAGAAAGGGAAACACTGAATGACTGCACTTATATGTGGAGTCTTAAAAAGACAAAAACTCATATAAAAAGAGAACAGATTTGTGGTTACCGAGGTGGGGAGCGGGGGAGGAACTGGATGAAGGTGGTCAAAAGGCACACACTTCCAGTCAGAAGAAAATAAAACCTAGGAATGGTGTGTAGAACCTGATGACTGTGATTAACACCGCCATGTGATTTCTGTGGAAGTTAAGAGTAAATCCTGGCAATTCTCGTCACAAGAAAAAAATGTGTGTATCTTTGTGAGACAATGGGTGTTAACTAAACTCACTGTGATCATCATTTCATGCAAATCAAATCATTATGATGTGCACTCTAAACTTAAACAGTGCTATTTGTCAGTTATAGCTCAATAAAACTGGGAGAAAAAAGTAATAATTTAAAACAGAAAAAATTAAAAGAAATTAAAGGCTCCTGCAGTCCACATAGCCCCCCTCCGGAGAAGGAGCCTAAGAACTGCGTCATAATGAGTTTTCCCTGGGATTCCAGTGATTGGCTGGTTAGGAACCACAGGTGTGCACCTGACCCCCACCCAGCCTCTACTCATTGCCCAGCACCCAGTTTCTCTTGGTGAAATAATAGGGTTCAACACTTTCTCCCTACAATAAAAAGGAAATGAAAGTTTTGTGGTTGCTAGAGCTGACTGCCCAGGTGAAATTTCAGTTCTGCTTTGAGAAGAGAAAACGCACCTGAGACCTGAGATGACCCACACATCCAAGGGGCGGCTACACAGGCTGTGGTAGCTTTATGATTCCATTTTCTCTTCTTTCTTAGCATATCAGTTGTACTTTTTGAAGATTTTTTTAGTGATTTCCCTCGAGTTTGCCATACACATTTATACTGAGCCAAGTCTACTCTCAGATAACACTCTACCACTTCAGAGATAATGCAAGTCCCTTCTAATAACAAAATATTCCTAATTCCTCCCCCGCCACCTCCCGGGTCACTGCTGTCTTTCATTTCACTTACACATATGCAAACGTAAGTAAATACACACAAGCATACATAATTAAATCCATTATTGCTATTCTCTTAAACAGTTATGTTAGACCAATTAAGATTAAGAAAAATAAACATTTTATTTCATCCCCACTTATGTCATTCTCCAGTGCTTTTTCTTTCTTTGCATAGCCAAGATTCTGACTCATGCCATTTTTCTTCTGTCTGAAGAAATTCTATTAACATTTCTTCCAAGGTAGGTCCACTAGCAACAAATGC